TCTAGCCATTGATTTACAGTTAAATTGGTGGACCCATTATTTTCGACTATTACGTTAGATCTATCCAAGTAATCCATTGTGACTATGAGTAATAGCGTTCCTACATTCCTACAAACACTTTAAAGATGGCACGTGAGAGAATCTAAGAAAATTTATTAGAAAAAAGTAAAACATCTAGCTATTACTTTACGCTCAAATCGGTGAATCTATTATCTTAAACCATTATAGTAGATCTATTCAAGTAATCCCTTGCTTCTAGAATCTAGCTAATTCCTCCCTAGATGTATACGTACACAAGATATGTCAAAAAGAAAAAAAAAACGAAGAGTAAGTATATGAAACGCCCCATCAGGTAGTTTTCTTTTTCTTTCTTTGCAGTTCTAATGTTTTTCTCAAAATATGCATATATGTAGCAATTACTCCTGACGAGAATGTCAAAGAAGCCATGACGCTGCTGCGCCGCTTCACACCATCTCACCAATTTTCTAAAAGTATCTTTTTACTAAAAGGTAAAGGTAATCGTAGACACTCATATAAACATGTGCAGATCCACCATATGAATACACATATGCACACCTAACCCCTACGAGAGAAGAATATTTTTCAAGAAAAGGAAAAAGTACATACATACGAGAGATTACTATTTGCTAGAACAAACATACTTACATATAATCGAAAATGTCACATGGAACCACATTATATCACTTATAATTATGTGATTCTCATCTAAATAGTGTTAACAATTAGCACCCCACAAATAAAACAAGTGGCACAAATAATTTTGACAATATAGATTATTCCATCGTATATTACCCACGAAGTGAGTCAGATGTATAATAAAAGAAAAAAAAACCTGTATTAACTCACACGTTTGAGAAACGTGGTGACAGGCAAGATTATATATAATGGGATAAAATGATTTTTGTTTGAACATGACAGTTATTATCATTATTATGTCAAAATCTATGATCTACTCCACAATATCAATATTACTCTCTTACAATTATAAGTTAGCGTGTTGTTAAGGTATGACTTATTTCAGGATTCTTTTTATAAACAATAAATAAATTGTCGGCGCATTTGCGCGGGCTTTCTTCCTAGTTTATATTAACATGCTGTTATAAAATTCATGACCACATAATTTTTTGGCAGTTCCAGGGTAAAGTAAATAAGAGCATTAGAATTCCAGGGGCAGTTGTACGTGCTATTACCCAAGAACACCTGCTGTACGTGCTACATGATTTCTTGCACTGTCAGGGCTGCGACGGGCGAGCGGAGGGGAGCGCTTTTGCGGCGAATCTCGCGAAGACGAGGGAGAGCATAGGAGATTGCGCGAAGATTGCGGTTTCCGGACGGGGAAGCCGGATCAGAGTGGGGGAGTGGAACACGGTGAGGGATAGAGAGGCAATCTGCCCTGTTGATCTGATCCAGATGAACACAGATAGTTGGATTTGATGAATGAAGTATGAAGAATGTAGGACTGTGTTGGTGAATTATAGAGTAGATACCATAAAATACTTTTATTGTATTTATTTTTTAAGTTTACTAGCTTTCTCCTAACTGTGTAGTTACTTTGAATACATAAAGAGTACTTTCTATATATGACGCTAAATTACCATTTCCAAAAAAAATTGTAGTGATTACTTTCAAATGAAGAAAATTACTTTCTCCAAACTATGTAAAGTATAGCTGCATAATTACTTTGTATTTAGTTTTTGAGTCTTCTCTATATTTTACTTTACATAGTTTCTTATTCCAATATCATTCAATATGTTTACTTTCAATGCTACACAAAAAGTTACTTTTATTGTAGAACCTGGTTACTTCTATGGTTTAAGTAATTTTAATATAATCAATATTAGACTTATTTTATTATATATTTTGAGTGGAGTATAATGGTTTAAAATGATCGTATATACGGTTTAAAAGATATAAATCACCAAAGGTTGCATGAAGTGTAAAGGAAGGACGAGTGTAATGATCGTTGATTAGTTGATGTCAGGGTGGGCATGTGAACAAGTATATCTTTTCAAAGCAAGATTATGTGTATCTTTCTTTTTGCCAATTGACAAATTCCAATGCGCTATGTTTAGGGTATCTACAACCAAAGCCACCCCTAATGTACCCTCACTAACTTAGGACGCTCTATGAGGAACTCATCTTCCAATGGAGGATACCTCTGCATAGGTTCTTCAAAATCTGAGGCCACTTGATGGAGATACGTCAGCCCATAATGGGTGTCCTGACCCAAGGTAGTCCAGAGAAAAAAAATACCGTACGTACCCCTCCTCTTCTTTCTCATTCGCCCGCTCCTCTCTCTGCTCGTGATCGCGTCGAGTGTAAGGGTTGTGTTTACACCCAATTTTTACACCTAGGGTCGAAATAGGCAAAATTGCCAAGATTTGGGAAATATGTCGGTTTCCTCCACAGGGCCGGTCTGACCGCCGTGTATGGGCCGGTCAGAACGTGGCTTGAGGGCCGGTCAGACCAGCGGTATGTGGCCGGTCAGACCTGCAAAGTCCGAGACAGACTGTTTTCGTCGAGTCTCGAGATTCCTTACTTGGGAGGCTATGTGTTCGGGTTTCTTTTGGTTTCTACCCCTAGTTGGACATGGAAGAGGGCCTGTAGAGGGCAAGACCAACCCCTATATAGGTACAAGGCCGATTCAATTGTAAAATACAATCCAACATACAATCAATCGAATCGCTTTTTTCAATATTACTTCTACTTTTTCATCTAGTTCTACTTTAGTTCGTCCATCTATGTCGATTTGCACCGTAAATCACCCGCCTTCGCTGCGAGAGTGCGAAATCTTTGTAGGTTTGTCCCGTAAACCTTCTGTTTGCCCACGAGATGGGTAGTTATCCATCGTTCTATCTAAATCGGCTCCGCTAGCCGGTTTAATCTATCAAAACATATCTTGGTTTAGCTTTTTGCTTGGTTGAGGTGGTTGGCGACTCCATATCACCACAAGGCGTTTAGGTGTTGCGATCGTAATTGTCTTCTTGCAAAAAATTTGCCAACAGGGTGCCGCCGACGGTTCCTGCCACCGCCTCCCTTGTCGCCCTCTCCAACAGCCGTTGCTGCCTCCCTCCTCCCTCCGCCAGCCACGTCCCGCCGCAGTAGCTGACCTCCGGTCGATGTGGTTCCGGCACCTACGGCGGCCGAAGGCGGCATATCCGGCGCCGTCGTGGGCGGATCGGCCGCCCTTCCGAGCGGCCATCTATTCCCGCTTCCTCTCCATCCTTCGCGGATAGCACGTCCTCTCGGACGCCGTCGTCATGCTCACCACACGGGCGGGCGGATCTAGTGGGCTGGCGTGGTGGCGTCGAGGCGAGGGCAGCACCGGCGAGGCGTTGTCGTACTCGGGTGACGGCGGCGGCGGCGACGACGACTATTCCCTAGCGATGGCGTTGGAGCTGCATGAGCAAGGGCGGTCGGATCTGCTGGACGAGGGGTGGAAGGTGAAAATCCGGAGGTGAGTGTGGTGTCCACGAGCCACCATGCGCCCAACGCGGTGCTCTGCTCCGTGCCTCTGTCAAAAGTGAGGTAGGGCCACGTCCCTAGCAAGGGTGCGCGCGGCATCGCCAGGGGACGGCTCGAGTGAAAAAGTAAACGGAGATGGACGGCGTGCGCTAGGGGTATTGTGTAGGGGCACCCATTGCTCGGAGGAGCTAATTCGCGCATACGCGCCTGCGGCGTGCACTCCGGCCCACCGGCCCACGCGTACGCGCGTCGGCGCTGTTCTTTTTTTTTGGATTTTTTTCCATTTAGCTCTAATTCCTTTGGTTTTAGTGCATAAAAAAATTCATTAGTTTTACATAATGAAAATAATTAAGATAAGATTTGTTTTTTTTCAAAGATTCTTTTTTAAGTAACCGATTGAAAAGAAATTTATACATGAAGTCAAATTCTGAAAATTTTCGACCCAGATTTGAAAACTTTTAACCTAAATTTGAAAACTTTCAATCAAGATTTAAAAACTTTCAACTCGAAATTTGATTTTTTTAAAGTCAAAGTTTGAAAAATTTCAACTTTTCATCTGAAATTTGAAAAACTTTCAACTCAAATTTAAAACTTTTAACCCAAATTTAAAAAATTTCAACCCAGATTTGAAAACTTTCAACCCAGATTTGAAAACTTTCAACACAAATTTTGAAAACTTTCAAAGTCAAAATTTGAAATCTTTCAAGTCAAAATTAAAAACTTTCAATTCTATATTTGTAAAGAGGTGTGCAAAAGGAAAAAAAATAGGAAAGAAACAGCGGAAAAAAAAACGCCACGCCAAAATCAGGAAGAAATACAAATAAAAATAAAGAGAAAGAGCGGAAAAAAAAACACCGAAAGGGGGCCTAGCTAAATCGCGCTAGGAGCACCCCCCGCCATTATAGTTGGCCATAAGGCCCGAGGCCCGAAGGCCCGGCCCATGGCACGCCTTTTTGGCCCGGCCCAAGCACGGCACGGCCCGACTTGGGTCGGGCCCGTGCCGGCCCGGCCCGATCGTCGGGCCGTGCCTGGGCCTCCTCACCAGCACGCTAGGCTGGCCCGGCACGGTCGGGCTGGCCCGGCACGATGGGCCGGCAGGCTAAGCCCGGTACACAAAGTACAGGGACTAAAAATAGACATATAAATGTCACTGTCTAAATAATAGGGACCTTAAATAGACTTATTTTAGCTATTTATATACCACAGTCCAAAGAAGAGGGAGGTAAAATAGACTTTTTGTAGCTATACATATGTCACAGCCCAATAGGAGGGAGTAAATTTAGACTTATTCTGAAGAAAGCACGACGGCCCATCGTGCCTTCGGTCCGGCCCGGCACGGCCCGAGGCGTGTTGGGCCGTGAGTGCGGCACGTGGGCTGGCACGGCACGGCCCGGTGCGTCGGTCGGGCCGTGCCGGCCCGACAAGCCTCGGCCCAGGCACGACCGGGCCTGGGCCGTGCCGTGCCGGGCCTCCGCATGGCCATCTATACCCCCCATTGCTCTTATCTCCTCGCACTGCTTCCCTATCCAACAGTCTCTCGATTACTTCCCTATCGCAATGTCGATCGTCCCAGGTGGCAGCACTAGCAACTGAGCTCCGCTGCGGCTGAGGCTGCAGACGCCGAGCGCCGCGGGCGGCCGGAGCGGCGAGAGCTCGGGCAGGCGCGGGGCGGGATCTGGCCCGCGGCGCTAGCCGAAGCCACCGGCCGGCCAGTGGCCCGGGTTGCTCGGGTCGGGTGCGATTTGGCGGCGGCGACGACGGCAGCCGGCCGGTACCTCGACCCGTCGTTTTCCTCTCGACGAACGCCTACCTATCTCCCCAGTGCGTTTCTTCGCCTACCTTTTTTTTCATTTTGTTATTATTCTCGTTTTTCTTTTGAGATCAATTTCACCCCAAACCAATAAATTACTCCGGTAATATGGTCATGATGCATGCTGCTTCAGATGGAGGCGGTGAGCGCTTCCATGGGGGTGATGGCGCCTCTCCTCACCAAGCTAGCCACGCTGCTCGGTGACAAGTGCTACAAACTCAAGGGAGTGCGCAAGGACATCGAGTTCCTCAGGTCTTAGTTGGCCGAAATGAATGTTGTGCTGGAGAAGCTTGCAGATATGGAGCGGCTGGATGGCCAGCAGAAGCTGTGGAGGGACAATGTCCGCGAGATGGCGTATGACATTGAGGACTGCATTGATGTGTTCATGTATCATCTTGGTGATGGCCATAACAAGGATGGGTTGCTCCAGAAGACTGCACGAAAGATCAGGAAGCTGCGCGTTCGGTATCAGATCGCAAACAAGATCCAAGAACTCAAGGCCCGTGTCATGGAGGTGGCTCAACGCCGTAGCAGGTATATCGGTCTAGGTGAGGCTACGACCTCTTGTCCTAAGGTGGTGGAAATCGATCCTCGGCTGCCTGCGCTGTATGAAGCGGCTAAAAATCTTGTAGGCATTGATGGTCCACGGGAAGAAATTTCCCGGTGGCTCACGGAAGAAGGACAGAGTGGTCCAACCCAACAACTCAAAGTTGTATCTATCGTTGGCTTTGGAGGCCTTGGCAAGACAACTCTTGCTAACCAAGTGTACAAGCAAGTGAAGGACAAGTTTAATTGCACATCATTCTTGTCAGTGTCCAAAAATCCCGACGTGTTGAAGCTTCTGAAAAATCTACTTTTAGAAGTTCAAAAAAAAGAGATTATAATCAAGAGCTCATTGACACCCTCGGAGTTCACAAAATTTCCAGATGATAATCAAAAGCTCATTGACACTCTCAGAGAACACCTTGCTAACAAGAGGTATGCCTAAGTCTGTATATAGTTTGTCTTTGATGTGACGTTCATATTCAGTTCGTGTGAATATTTCTTGTGTATAGCTAATACTTTATAACTATGTGTACATTTCTACTGTTTAGGTTGACTTGTATTAGATTTTAGCACCATTTGGAACTTTCGATCCTATCAAGGAAAAACATGTAGTGCAAACCAGGAAACTATCGTAGGATCTAAAAATAGATGTTTGAGATTTGTCCAAATCACCATAAGTAAAAGATGACGTGGACAAATCTCAAACTTCTATTTTTAGATCCTACAATAGTTTTCTGATTTGCACTACATATTTTCTCTCGTATTAGAATGTTGTCTTAGGTTGACATAGCTCAAATTAGGCTCTATGTTAGGTGCATGTTTACTTCATAGCACACTGGGAGGTTCCACAATCATATCGGACATGTCACACACATCTCAGTATAATTTGGCACAACTTTATTTTGCTAGCAAATTTCAACTCTACGTAATTTAGTAGCTAAACCTTAGACAAATTAGACACGAACTTTTGGCAAATGCTAGCAAATTTTATGGTATACATTGCTGTGTTTGGCTTATAAATATGGACTAAAATGACTAACTATTCTCCTTTGATGCTTTATTATTGATTATGAATTTATTTCTCAATTTCTCTATTTTTACTTTCTACATTATATTCAGGCCACATTTTAAAACATGATTTCTCTAGTTTTATTAGGAAAAAAAACTATATATGGCCACTAACCACTGCATATGTTAATCTAGCTGCGGAATTTTAAGGTATTCTGAGCCTCTAGTAACTAAGGAACTGCAATTAAGAGCTCTAACTAAATCCAAGCCATTAATTGATTATGGTTTTTCCTAATTTAAAAAATATGTGCATCATACAAATAATAAATAAAAGTAGTGAGGAAAATATAATCAGGTGATATATCCTTGTAAATATTTAATTATGATGAAATTAACGGTGTAATCAGATCACGAACTGTAAGAGTAATTTGTGAGAAAAACAATTTTCAACTTGCTAATTAAGTGAATAGGATGAGAGGGAGTGGTGGGGAGAGCTTGCATGCACGTAGGAAGAGTGGAAGAGAGAAATGAGGCATGCATGTGGAGGTGCTGCACTAAAAAATGTGGCATGCATGTTGGGAAAGGGCGCCATATTTTTCTCAAACAAATCGGGTGACTGATTCAGTTGGGTCCCAAATGTTCACATGCGAACCTAAATTAAATAGAGGTACCACTGAAAATTCACTAGCAGGATTTTGATTTATTATCTAAGTATGATTCAAATATAATGAATGTCACATTTTATGTAAATATAAGTTTTGTAGGCCATAATTTGGTTTTGTAAAATTATAAAATATAGTTTGAGATCATTTTATTAATTATACCTGCCTTATCAAAAAGAGACTTTTAAGGCACATGCAAATATTCTACTTCATCCGTCCAAATATAACAACTTTTAGAGTTCAAACTATGCCCCAAATATAGTATCCTAGTACTTGTAAAAGGTGACTTTTACCACTAAACTATATTCGTCCAAATATAACAACTTTTAGAGTTCAAACTATGCCCCAAATATAATATCCTAGTACTTGTAAAAGGTGACTTTTACCACTAAACTATCTCCTATTACCTTTTGGCTTTATTATAGTCTCCAATAGTCCAACTATCCTAAGGAGGCAACCAAGTATTTTTACCTCTCTCCATAGTACTAGTTTCAAAGAATAAAACTTTTATATAATTTGGAAAAACGGAGTATTTGTTTTAAGTTATAGTGTGTTGTCTTACCACTAATAGGGCAATAGGAACGTCAACCATTGGATGCATGGCCAATTAATAGATGTTCCAAACTTCCAATCGAACAAACTTGAGTGCCCAAAAGATCATGACAAAAAGAATCTATTTGTAGGTATCTTATTGTAATTGATGACATATGGAGCACCAAGATATGGAACAATATCCAGTGTGCTTTTGTTCAGAATAATTATGGTAGCCGAGTTATAATTACAACACGAATCGAAGATGTAGCTACAAAGTGCAGCTTTGATTTCTATGGTATGGTGTACAAGATGCAACCACTTGATGAGGTTAACTCACGATCGTTATTTTTCAAAAGGCTATTTGCTTCCGAGGATGGTTTTACTGAGCAATAATATAGAAAAATATCAGAAGACATGTTAAGAAAATGCAAAGGGGTGCCATTAGCAATCATTAGCATTGCTAGCCTTTTGGCTAGTCATGGCATGAATGTGGAAAGGTGGGAGAAAGTACAGAACTATCTGGGCTACGAGTTGGAAACAAATCCTACTCTAGAATGGATGAGACATGTACTGAATCTGAGTTATAGTGATGTCCCACATGATCTTCGGGCATGCTTCTTGTACCTTGGAATATATCCGGAGGACTCTAAAATTTTCAAGGTTGATTTAACAAGACTATGGATAGCTGAAGGATTTGTTGAGGAAAAAGCTGGTTTAGATCTGGAGGAAGCTGCTGACAGCTATTTTAACGAACTTATTAACAGGAGTTTGATTGAACCAAATAATAATCGTCTCGGTGAGGTTGTATCATGTCGAGTCCATGACCTTATGCTTGATATTATTTTATCGAAGTGCCAGCAGGAAAACTTCATCACTGTGGCAACTAAGCAGTCCATATTGAATGATAGAGGGTTTCCAGTTCGTCGGTTATGCTGTCAGTTGTCCTATGAAAATTTGGAGATGGAAAGGATGGAAGTATCACAAGTTAGGTCCTTCATTACTTTCCCGGTGCGTGGCTGCAGTACACAGCCTCCTATTTCAAAGTTTGAACATTTGCGGGTATTGAAACTTGTGGCCTATGTGGCACCTACGCTCCTTGATTTGTCTGCTGTAAGTAATCTCTTCCTGTTGAAACACTTGAGGATCAGAGGGTTCCAGTTGATAATGCCTCAGAAAATTGGGAGACTCCAGTGTTTGAGGACGCTAGATCTACTATGCAGCCTTTTGGTGACTGGTATTCCATCAGATGTTATTTCTCTATCATCGCTGCGCCATCTCACAGTTTCGGACGTTTTACAGCTGCCTAATTGGATTGGCAAACTGGTCTCTCTACAGACTCTGTTTACCTTTGATGTCGGCACGATGCATTTTCAAGATACTGTCAGCGTGGGGGCTGGTGATGATGTCAGCACGATGCATTTTCGAGATACTGTCAGCGTGAGGCCTGGTGACGATGAACCGATATTAACCAAGCTAGACAAGCCTAAGTTTGTGCTTGATCAGGAACGACGTGACATCATTGATAGAATTAAGATGTCGGCACGTGTCATCCGGGCAGCCCTACAGTTCAAAGGTGATAACTCGTTTGAGAACTTCTGCTCCACCTATCTGGGTGATTATTCGCCGGGCATTCTGGATGGTGCACAGACTCATCATCCGGAAAAGCATCCACACTGTCCCGGAGTGGATGGAGCAGTGCGACAAGCTCACAATGTTAGAGATTCGTGTCAAGCAGCTCCAGAGCACCGGCGTCCATGTTCTATCCAATCTGCCCTGCCTCATCGATCTTGACTTGACTGCGCAAGCAACCCCTGAGGACGACATCGAGATTTATACCCACAGATTTCCAAAACTAGAGAAATTTATTCTAGCATGTGATTTTTTGCCATGCCTGAAGTTTTGTATAGGGGCAATGCCACAGCTTCAGACTCTGAAGCTAGATGACAGGAGGCCTGCTCAGCTCGAACAAGGGTGCAGCTCCAGCAGTGGAGCAGCGGCAGCACAATATGGCAGTAGTCCACTTGTTGGCATCGAGCACCTACTAAAGCTTGAAGAGGTTGAAGTGACAGCCAACTCCAGCAAGGTGTCTGCATACAGGGACGCTGTCCAAAGGCATCCAAGGATTCAAGACATACATGTCACGTTTAATACCCATGATGGAAGTGCAAGGACTCCGAAATAGCGCTGCAAGGTACTCGTGATATCCTTATAGTACTTTCCTTTGCTTGAATATTAATGCTGCTGTTTTATGGATCACCTAAAGGCACTGTTTTAATGATTTATCGATGACTATGTTTAGGACTGTCCTGAAACAACCTGCATTTTAATCACTTCTTATAATAGAAATTAAGGGGCTAAGTTAAATAGATAGTTAAATAATTTATACAAATTATTGTGATATTGTCAAATACCTGGGATCGCACAGATGCATATACACAAACATACATGCTTGAGGGTCCAACATCAGACATATACCATTAAACTAAAAAAGTTTAATGTACAAAATACAGGTGCCGGAATGCTATTCGATTGGCATGCATGCTATCATTTTATGGTTAAACTAACCACTGATTTCTTCCATCCAGCATTATATTAGTAAGCAAGAGCAACTTATTATTTCTCCATACGAATATAATCTCTAAATTACTTGTCATGTCACCTACTCTCTCCATAAAAAAACTAATCCTAAATATAAACCTGGATTGGATTGGGTTTTTTTTGGACGGAGTGAGTAGGAGCCATATCTTTGACCACCATGCGGAAGGCCACGCCAAATTATCCAATGGGAAGGTGGCAAGAAGGTATAACCAAGCAGTGAGACGGACATAAGCATAGCAGAGCTTTACCCCTGTTTTGGGGAACAGGGGAAGAAGCAGAGTGCTTCTTTGGGGCCAGCCAAGTGAGCTGTGATAGATAGGCCCAGATACATGTTCTAGTATAAATTACTTCCATGCTGGAGCAAATCAATGGGCAAACGAAACATTATTCAAAATATTAAGATCTAGAGAAAATTAAATTTACTTCCTCCGTTTTATATTATAGGACTTTTTAGCATTGCCCACATTCATATATTTGTTAATGAATTCATATATATATATATATATATATATATATATATATATATATATATATGAATGTGGGCAATGTTAGAAAGTCATATAACCTGGTACGGAGGTAGTAGTAATGATCTGACTGTAGGGGACAACTCCTCTCTCTTGCCCTTTTTCTCCTAGAGTTTGTGATCGATTGAACCACTATCTTGAGTTCTTGAGTGAGTATTATAAAGTTTTAAAGTGAAATTGCCCTTCTGCATAACACCTTGTTATTTGATCTCATATTTTCGTTAATGCTTGCTTAGTATCTTTTACTGATTCTTGCTATTAAAACTCATTATACAGGGAAAAATATTGAGAGAATATTAGCTTGATTGTCCCCATAGCTGGAAGAATTCTAAGACAGGAATCACGACATTGTCTTGTTTGCACAAGATAAGCATCACGGATAGTACTATTACTGTTGTGGCATGTTTTGAAGAGCTTGTATTATGTAATCAGATTCAGTCCTGTCTAAGTAACGCGTGTTGCTTATATTTTTAAGTCCTACGTAGCATGGTTTGTAATACTTTCTATTTTTTAATATATGACGTCGTTAACTTTTTTGACAAATATTTGACCATTCGTCTTATTCAATTTTTTTTTGCAAATATTAAAATTTTTAAGTCATGCTTAAAAACATGTAACGATAAATCAAGTCATAATAATATAAATAATAATTACATAATTTTTTTGAATAAGCGAATGATCAAACGTATCTTAAATATATTAAAAAAGGAGAGAATATCAATTAGCTTCTCCGGGTTGGCAGTGATTTTCACTTCGTTTAGTCTGGTTTTCGTGAATTTGTATTACGGGGCTTATTTAGCACAGCTCAGGTCGAGGCATTTGACCTTTTGCCATTTTTAAGATGTGAAGGTAGGCGCATACCCCTTTTTACTCATGTTCTCTATATATCGATTAAAAAATTAGCCACCTGGCCGATGTGACGTAGAGTTATTGCTTCAGAATGGCTCGAACCTATAAAAAAATGGCACTGTCTATGTGGTATCCGGCTGAAAATTTTTGGGTTATCAGCAGAATTTCTGGCCATAGGATAAACCACGTGTCAAAGATCGCGGTGTTGCCCCCGCGCAAGCTCTTCTCCGTGCGCGCCTCCCACGCCAGTGCTTCTCTATTAAGACGGTGCACGTTACAAGAAGGCCTCCTTTTTGTTAGTTTGTTGGGCTGGTTTTTATCCATTCAAATGAAGCCCAAAATTTGTGATGAATTGTTCTAACAAACCAAGCAGAAGAAGGCCCAATTCGCAACCAAGAAAGAACCGACATCATCGTCATAAAATTTGCGTACATCGCATAAATACTCTCCCATATTGACCTCACAGCGTAGGCACACTTGTGACACCTGACAAGACAATATAATGATCTCTACCGGCCGTCCAGTATCACAGAGCAAACAGACTACCAAAAATAAAGTCAAACATTACGGAATTTCTGTACCTAATAAAGTGTATTAATTCTGCAAACCAAACTAGGAAGGACATTAGAGATTTACCTTTTCAACATCCTGGAGACATGGTATATATGCCAATCACTTGAAGCCCACAAATGAGAACACTATTTTTCGAGGGGTAAGGGCAGGAGCTCTGCCGATTTCATTTAGGAAGGAAAGAATAGAGTTTTTGCATAACACGGGTTAAACTAAAACAGAACAATATAAATGCCATCAAAACTAGTTAAACTAAAACATATGCATATATGAAGTTAAAAAACTTTTGATCTTTAGTTTCTCTTCAAATATAAATTTTTTTTTTTAGTTTTGATACTTATAAATATGCATCATATAAGTATTATTTGATATAAGACTATTTCTAACAAAAACATGGACGTTAGAATTGAGAGATTTTTATGGCAAGCAAACAACGGCATCAAGAACAATTTCCAGTGATTAGGCTATGACCTAAATAAGCGATAAAGTGATTAATATGTACCAAATTATAAAAATCTAACAAAGACAAAAACATATACATCTTATAAGTATTATTTGATAAAAGACTGTCTCCGACAAAAACATGGACATAGAATTGAGGGATTTTTATGACAAGCAAACAGCAGCATTAAGAACGATTTCCAGTGGTTAGGCTATGACCTAAATAAGCGATAAATTAATTAATATGTACCAAAATTATAAAAATCTAACAAAGACAAAAACAAAAACAAAAACACATAAAAAACAAAAAAGCACCGTTTCTGAAACTATGCTCATTTCTGACAAAGTAAAATTTTTTGACAAAAACAAACACAAAATAAAAAATACAAAAAAAAACAAAACCGAGAGAGTGTACACAAGCTGACATGGCATAACTTCTTCAGACAAAACTGACACAACTATGTAATATTCCCTAAAATTATGAGGTGATGCAGTCTTATTGTTGACAAAATACAAATGTTAGCAACTGACAAAACATATGACTCGTCAGTAGTAATTTGTTTCAGTGTTGTAATATTCATATGCAGATTACATATCTTAAGAACCTTCAGATTACATATCTTCAAGATTCCATTTTTTTTTCTAAACAGTGACCTTTAGGAAACTTATTATTTGTAATTTGTATGCAAATATTGTTAGTAAATAGATGCTTGCTGACAAAACAAAAAAAAGTAACATATAACGTCATTAAACAAAAATGAATTTGTTAAGTTTGCAGTTAACAGAATAGTGAATGGAGAAAGAACTAACATAATTCAAAATTTGTTTTATATACATGATTCTAACCAATTAGTGTAGGATCAGTCAAAATAAAAATGGTTGCATCCCACCTTAACCATGCAACCATTGTCCAGAACAGGTATTTATCCCCCCAATAGATAAAAAATTAGCAGAGCATAAACTCATTACGAACAGAGGTAATGGGAGGTGTAAGATTAAAGTGTTTTTTATTCTTATTATGTGATGAACAACTGGCATATGAGATTATTGATTTTGATATTTAGAGATTATTGGCGAAGTGGTTTTGGAGATGATTGGATTTTTAGGTGATGAACAGGGACGGTTGTTTTGTCAAGTCCGGTCAGACTAGGCAGGTGCTGCTGGTCAGACTGGCGTGTATTGAGCGGTCAGACCGGCCGATTCTATGTCGATTTCGGTTTCAGGTTGTTTCTTTGGATATCCATAATTAATATGTGTTTATGGCTTCTAGATGGATACTCTGCGTATGTAATACTGTTGTTTGCTAACAATGAGTCAAGTTGGAGATAACTTGGTCTCGGAATATGGTTTCTTTGTTTGATTCATGTGTAGTGACTTGATGCCTCGGGAGAGTATTGCCGGTGATGGATCGGGAGTCAACTTGGAGATAAGGTGACGTCCGGATGGTTAGATATCATGCGGGATACTTAGGCTAAAGATCAATGCACGTGGTTGGTGAAGATTCCATATGGCATACGATGGAGATATTGTGTGTGTATCGGATGCGGAGTCGAATTTGGAAGGAGTCCAAATTTTATCGTTAACACTTGTACGGGAAGGTTTCCTAGGTAAATTAGGACTTCTTGTATGAGTTTGGTTCGTGGCTTTAGGCTGCCTACCTCATGTATAAATAGAGAGGGAGGATGTGGCCTCCCGGTATCGCTTTAGAGAGCATTGAGTTGAGAGAATAGTTAGGGTTTCGAGTTTAGTCGAGATTTTCGTGAGGAGTGTTGTTGTTGCACTTTGTAAACACAGAGAGAAGTAATAAAGTTGTCATCTCCATCAAGAGTTCTTCGATTTGTGTTTGCTCGGGTTCGACGGTCTAACCAACGAGACACCGGCGGTCAGACCGGCGGCATCGCGGCGGTCAGACCGGCGGCTACATGGCGGGCAGTACGGTGAAGACTTCAGGCGACTACAGCTTCTTCGGGGCGGTTAGACCGGATGATCTAATCTTTCTAAATCCGGAGAAGATTTCGATTATTATCTTTCTAGATTTAACAAAATTTTGTGTGATCTTAGATATGTTGATTCTGCTTATGATGTTAATTACTCACAATCTGAGATTTCTCGCCACTTTTTGAATGGTCTTGACATGTCTATTTGGGAGTTGAAAGTCACATCAATTCAAGAGTCAAACTTTGACTTTGGATTCACTTTATACAAAATTGAAAACACATCAGATAAATATTCTTTCTCGTAAAGTTGATTCTAATTCTAGTGCTTTGGTTTCTCCCTCGACTTCTTTGGATGTTGGTGCTTCATCGTCGAATTTGTCGACGAGTGATACTCGTGGACTGGATGAGTTGAGTATTGGGATACGTTGGAACAAGGGTCTACGTAGTACGACATCAAGCAGACAAAAGACAAGGATTATACTGGTTCAGGCCCCTTGTCAGGTAATAACCCTAGTCCAGTTTATATGAGATTGATGGGCCAAGAACTCAGAATTAACACAACGAATTAGGCCAAAATTCACAAGTCTGCGGAGAGGAGCAGTAGAGGAGGCCACCAGCCAAATTGTGGGCTGGATGGGCCGGCCCCTGGTTCGGCCAAACTAGGCCGAACCCACCAGGCCACCGTTAGATCCAGGTTTTGGCTAGACGGCTGAGATGATGCCCCTAGGATGGTTGGAGGGTATTACCGACCATTCCAACCGTCATAACCATCATTACCTGCCTATAAAAGGAGCTCACTCTCTTCACTTCAACACACACCTCAAGCAAGAGCTCTCTCATATATATTCTCTCAAGTTAGTTTAGTAGTCTTAAGCTAGTGGAATATGAATAGAGTAGAAATCGGAGTCTGGAAGCCTTCGGATGAGTTCGGGTATGGCTCTAGTAGCTTTCCTTTCCTCTTTTGTATGCTTTGTACCTTATTTAGAATACTCTTCTTTATACATTTATAGTATTGAAATACTTTCCGAGTATATGAATGCCAACTTTACATTATGTTCATGTTATACTGATTATACTGCTAGCTTATATGGGAGATGCTTTGGTACGGGTATAGTGTTTGCTTATGCAATTACTCTATGTCATGACGATGATATTAGAGTAGTATCTGGTAGTTTAGGCATGGTGTCTAGGTTACGGGATATCATTATTTGGGGTTATATGCTGCGGATGAGAGGTGGGCCGCTGATGGTGACAGCTCAGTACGGGTATTCCTCCGCGCGTGTTTATAGTCCTAAGTTAATTTCCTTCCGAGGGTACTCCTCTGTATTTAGCCCCAGTTGTATGGTCATGACGGACTGTCGTAAGGAACTCGGCAGTCAGGGGTGGCTTTTCGAAGTACCAGGAGGGCATTGGATAGAGGGTATTAGCTAGTATATCAGATAATTAGGATGTATATATAGTATGTATACTAGAAGTATAGGAATAGATTCTCTTTCTCTTTTCTTTCCACTTAGCTTAGATATTTTATAAAAGAATGAGTAGCTCCCTGCTTGTGTGTCACTCTACCCTTGGATTATATTAACCCCTGCTTAGACTATGATTATTACAAGTAACATATAAATTATTAGTTAGGTTCTCTCTACCATGATCTTCCCATGGGATTAAATAAATACGATACCCTTGGAATACTCTCGGGTGAAATGCTACAATGGTATATCCGTGCGCTTACGGATGAACTCTATAACC